CGAAGGTGTAACAGTTTTGCACATGCCAAGCTTGGTAGCCGCGAACTTAGGAAAGAATTAATAGATTTTGATCCAATATTATATCAAGGTGTATTGGCGGGAATCCCCCTACACCAATTGAAACAAAATATGCAAAAAACATGTTGTATGTTGGTAAAAGTCAAACTTAGATATTAAACTGCACAAAAAAGTAATTTTAAACTATAATCGCTTGTTCAGGTGACTCCCCATTCTTGTTTACTACTAGTAGTAGTAGTTTATTTCGGTAAATCAGGCCACAGGCCCATTTTACAATTATAGTTTGACAAAGATGTTGATGTCGCGCCACCAGTGCGAGTAGCAATGTTTAAGTTCTGCAAGTTATATCTAGTACAATATACATGTGACTATAAAATATGTAGGTTATGTAATGGACAATTGCTTGCTCCTCATTTTCAGAGCAAAGAAAGTAAACTTGGCGAGGTTATTAAGCATGGAAGTATTTTTGGTGGTAAATAAAAGTTTACATTTACACTCTGAAGGGAATTTGTAGTAATAACATGGCAAGAAATTTCTTCTAAGGTCATTATAGAATGGACACACTAGACAGACATGGTATTCTGTTTCTACATTTGGGATGATACAGAATGGACAAAGTCTTTCACGTTTAGATATGCCTAATTTTCTACCCTGTGATATCATAAGATCACTACTGGACGTACGAAATTGTGAAAGAGTAATCCTAAATGCATCAATATTCACAGCATTTAAATAGTTTTCATATTCATTGGATAACTTGATTGTTTTGTAAAAATACAAGGAAGATAACTTGTCAAACGATTCAAAGAGAAACTGATAATCGATATCAATACACCGTGTTCAAAAAGTTGATAGAAATAGTTGAACGCAAGAAACAGATTGCCGGTTCCAAATTTCACAAAATCCATATGAACATAAAAGGTTTTTAACTTTAAGTGCCCAACAATCCAGACCCTTTTCAGCTCGGTTATACTGATATACATAACTATAATGTAATATACTGTTTTCACTCTGGGATAATAAACGTAACCAATACTTAATTATTTTCAAATGTTGGTTTACCTTTAATGAGTACCTCCCCAGTTCAGCTCTCGCAACTATATTAGGGACAGGTCTTCTTAACTTTAATATGAGTTTACAGAATTTGTCATGAACATTCAAAATATCTTTACAGGGATGGAATCCGCATATTTCTGAACCATATAATAGTATGGGCAGCACTTTAACATCAAAGATATGAAGTAACATTTTCAAGAGAAGTTTATGAAAATTATACACATTTGATTGTAACAAAAGTATTACTTTCCAAGCCTGTTGAGACAATATCTTTTGAGATTTATACCATGAACCAGAGCTAGAAAGATGTACTCCAAGGTATTTATAACTGGGAACAATATCAAGCGGGCTGCCATTAAGAGAAAACTTTTCGTACTTTTTAAGCCTACCCGCCTTACGAAACACAATTATTTTACTCTTGGATGAATTTACCTTTAGTTGCCACTTATTACAGTAAACCGTCAGTTTATCTAGTCTTTTTTGTAGACCAATAACAGTGCTATCGAATAAGATTATATCATCAGCAAATAAAAGTATGAAGAGATCAAGTAAGTCTAGATTAACACAATATTGCTTATCTATACTCAGAAACTCTGCTATATCATTTACAAAGGATGAAAACAAGAAAGGTGATAATTGGCACCCCTGACGTACACCAAAGAGGCAATCAAAAAAGGGACTACAACCATTGTTTACCAACACACATGATTTCACATTTTCATACATATTCTTGATAAGTCTAAACATTTTCCCCTTTACATTACCAGTCCACAGTTTGTAAAATAGGGATGGTCTATGCACAGAGTCGAAAGCTGCTTTCAGATCTATGAAAGCGCAATAAAGTCTACCTTTGTAAAGTGATAAGTACTTATTAATGAAGGTGTCAATTACAAAAACATTATCAACCGTTTGAAAGCCTTTCCTAAAACCTGCTTGTTCAGGAATAATGATATTCTGATTATCAGTCCATTTCGAGAGTCTGTTACATAGGATTTTAGAAAAGATTTTACCAGAAACCTCAAGTAGAGTGATTGGCCTAAAGTTTGCTGGATTATTACTCGGCCCCTTTTTGTGTATAGGAATAATGACACCAAGCGTCCACTGAGAAGGGTAAACACCAGTTGACAAAATCATGTTATAAAGTACTCTCAACATATCCAAGCATTGCCTAGGAGCATACTTGAAAAATTCTATTGGGACGCCACTGTATCCAGGGGCTTTCCCACAATGCATACTTGAGATTTCGTCCTGAATTTCAGAAACAGAGATGTAATGATCAAGGCCATTATCGACATCAATAGTTGCATCAATGAGGTTGTCAGTTATACCCGTGACAAAATCATTTACAGAAATATAGAAATCAAGTTCATTTGGATCATAGTTTGTACCATTAAACTGTTCTTCGAAGTGTGCAGTCCACGCAAGTGATGTAATAGTTCCAGACTGTGATTGTATCTTCGGTCTCAATAAGGACCAGAAAAGTTTACTGTTATTACTCTGTAGCGATTGTTCCAACTTGTTCACAAACACATCGGTCGAGACAGCCGATTTACGCAGGCAGAGTTCCTTATAGTGTTTCCGTGCCGAGATGTAGGTCAGTCGGTCGCATTCTTCATTGCTTGCATGAAATGCACGCAGCAATTGACGAGCTGTCAATCTCGCGTGTAAACAGTCATCGTCGAACCAGTCACTGCGCTTATGCACTGTTCTAGCTCTGTCACACGATTTTCTGGGTTTCCCAGAGCATTTCTCAAGCGTATTCTGAAAGCAGTTTAATGCACTGTCAACATCATTGCTGCTAATGTGGTTGTTAAAATCGTTCTTAGTTGAGTCCTCAAGATTATGCCATGCGTTTACATATTCACCATGGAAGTGATCGGACCAAACATACTTCAGACGGTCAGTGAGATTTTCACGATGACAATCAAATACAGTGTTGAGAGCTAAAGAATAGATTATAGGTAAATGGGTACACTCTATTTCATCTGAAACATCAAATTTTGTGAATAGTTGGAAAAGATGTAAATTGCACAAAACATAATCGACAACACTCTGACCGCCATTGGCAAAACAGGTTATTTTACCAATACTACTGTCTGAACACAATCGACCATTACAAATCCGGAGTCCTGTTGATTGACAAAAGTTTAACAAAGAAAGTCCACGCTTGTTGACAACACTGTCTTGTGATCTGCGTGGCAGGCAATCGTCTTGATTATAGCTCATGTCATTATCGATTGGCAAATAGGTGATATCATCGTTTTCGACAAAATCAGGTAGTGTACCATCACCAGTACGAGCATTAAAGTCACCATGAATAACTATCTCACAGCTTGGAAAGCCTGATTTTAAGCATAAGATATCATTCTCTAGGATATCAAATAATTCCTCCTCGGAGTGCACACTAGACCCCTCGGGGAGAAGTACACAGTACAGATGAATAAAGGCGTTTGTCCTCCGTTATGCTTTATCCACAGAATGTTGTTGGACGCTGATTTAAGTTGAGTGACTTGCGATGAGATATAGTCCTTGACTAGGGTAAGTATACCGCCCGAGTTCCTTATAGCCCCTTCAGTTTTGCTTCTCAATTGGATGAATTGTTGATATCCAGGAAAGCTGAACACATCATCGTGATTCGCCCATGTCTCCACAAGAGATATTATATCAAATTTATTAATAAATTCCATAACACAGTTATTTCTCATTTTTCTTTTCAGTCCTTCAACATTCCAGATGACAAAATTTAAAGTACCTGGGTTTTGATTACGGCCTTGGATTCTTGTTTACTGAAAGGGCTTGTTTTGGAGACACTACCCACCCCCTTTCAGTTGACGTCATCATAAGGATATAACTCATCCTAAAGTTTTCACTTAGTCATACATTGTGTCAAGGGTTCAAACTAAATACTGAATGGTCACACAAGTGTCAGCTCTCAATATGTTGTATATCTGGAAACAATGTTTTTGAAAATTTAAAATGAGGGTGTCCTAAAAAAACAGTCCCCGTCTAAATGTAAATCAAGCAATCCAAATCTTTGAATGTTGATGATGACGGGAAGTCATCCAATACTATGCTGAACATATTTTATATGATACTATCCGAGGGTATACCATTATCCAAGGGATAGCGCAATAGTGCAGTGGTAAGGCGTCTGCCTATCACGCTGAAGGCCCTGTTTCGAGGAGGCACCGAGGTTCGGTTCCCGAGATGGGCACGTTTGCGTAGTATCCTTGGACAAGATACTTAGATCTACACTGTCTCAGTTCACCCAGCTGTAAAATGGGTACCCGTGAGTATGTGCTGGCAATGTGAGTGTTTAGTTCATTGCGCCTAACAGGCAGCAGGGCTGTACAGTCCCCAGGGAGTTGAAAAAGTATCGGAAACTACGATAGTGTCCTATGATCGGGGATTGTAGTGTACGTAGCGCCATGGGCAGGCAATGTGCCTGGATGTGAGCGCCATATAAGCGGACTATTACTATTACTAGATACCAAATGGGAGATCGTTTTCCATTTTCTGCAAATTTGCAAGAAACATAATACCCCAATGATGTGATGACTAATATTTCGTTAACCACATTACCCACATGGAATTTTGGATATGACTTTGCTAATGATTCCTTCAAAATAAAATGGAAGCTTCTTTTCAAACATTGGACATCGAGAATATAGTTAGTTTGACTACTTTTTCAACGCCCCTCGTAACATACTTAAAAGAAATGAGAACGTCTAAGGAAAAAAGCATTTCGATCTCTGAATACTTCTGAGCTATTTAAATACAAAAAGCAAAGGAATAAAGTAAATAATCTGAAAAGAATAGCCAAGGGAAACCTTTATTTTAATTTTGATAACTATTTATCACCTCAGTCTACTCAATCAGGTGGTTAGTACTTCATCGGGGCCCACTCCCCTTCTTGTCACTAATGCTTCTGGGATACCTTCAGTTTTTACAGATTTGGATAAAGCTCAAACATTAAATGAATTTTTTGTATCTGTTTCAAATGTTACTGATGGCGGCAAGACTTTGCCACCTGTTAGCCATCGCTGTGTTAACAGTATAACAAATGTCATTAACACGTCACAATTTAATTCTGGACTCACAAAAGTCCAGAAACTCTCCGTACTGTGGGTACTTTCTGACAAGTGATTTGACCAAATTAAACATGCAGTTGTTTTGAATATATGCCAAGGATGAAAAAATGAAAAAAAAATAATTGCGAAAACTTTAGATATAAACTCGCTCGCCTATGGGCCGGCCCATGGGCGAGAATGTTTAATTTTGCTCAGAATTCATGTTTTGGAGGTTGTTAATGAATGAGTGTATGTTTATAAGCATCATGACACAAAATTCAACTCATTTTGACTTAATTCGACTAACTTAGGGCGATATTAAAACATCTGGCCCATGGGCGAAAAATATGTTGGCCCATGGGTGAGAATGTTTAATTTCGCTCAGAATTCATGGTTTGGAGGTTGTAAATGAATGAGTGTATGTTTATAAGCATCATGACACAAATTTCAGCTCATTTTGACTTAATTCGACTAAGTTACAACGATATTAAAAACTCTCGCCCATCAAAGTATATATTCTGTGAGACATGAAATGAAAAATAGTGAAAAAAAAGATTTTTCGTAATGTTGCATTGCTGTACCTTTACCCGACGGAGAAGTCCTTCTCTAAAGATATATATTCCGTTGTTTGGAGCAGGCCTATATGACTATTACGCCCCAGTGCTGCTAAACAACTCGTAGACCTTTAGTCTAACATAGACGCAGACCTTGCATGTTCAAGTTCACATCTGATAGGGGCCGAAAAATTGAATGCGACATGAATGCAATATCTCATTGGGTTATTGTTTTCCTAAGTAAGTGGAGTGTCTTCTACAACATTGGAGACAAGTGTATCGCTGTCCTTCTGATATTCCCCCCGAACGGAAGCTCTACCCATTTTAGGTACAATGTGCATGTTATAGAATAGTAGGGAATAGTCTTAAGATGTTTCAACTTTGACCAGGATTCTCCGAACTTGTAACAGTCGTTTGAGAGATCAAAAGAGAAAGGGGTAGTGCGCGATGTATCTGACGGACGTATGTGGAGAACGTTTGAAGAATGTTACTGTATAAATACAATAATTGAAATACCAGTTATGTTTAAAAAGTACCCTCAATCTGATAGCCAGAGAGATTATTGTGAAAGATCGCAGTATTTATCTTCATAAACGGGCCAAGATAAAAGTACATGCCATTCATCCCCATATTATATCCCCCTCTATATACAAGGGACATCGTTGTTACAGGTAGGGCAAACACTTTCTTCTATAGGTATCCGCCGGTTTCACGCTACATACATGTATTCAGATTATTGAGAAAACTAGCGACGCAAGATCTCCTCCATCACACATATAATTGTATACATACCCAGTGATTAGTGATAGCGTTGAAGCAACTTATTAAAATTTACGACAGACACTATCAGCTGCAGTAGTACTGCCATACCTAGCATCGTATTTATTACTCTCTTACATAAGGTGAAATATCACAGGGTTGTCATGGTAACGATAATTTGGCATACTATTTATTGTCTTACTCTTTAATCAGCGATTAGAATTTAAATCAGTTTTGAGGTCAGCATGTTAAGAGAAAAGAAGTTGTAAAACGAAAAGTATTGTGATCGAATCTATTGGCCTTTGTAAAAGCAAGTTTCAAGCCACCTACATAAAAACCTGTTTTCATGATAAATATCTGCTAATCCGTGGCATGATTCCGACCATATCATGGGCATGTGTTTGTGAATCATAATCAAATAGTGATGTTACAAGGCGTCCATGCCGCGTCAACAACACATGAGAACGCACGAGAATTGCAATACGAGCCCCTACACCAATGATTCTCCGTGACCTGGAGACACTTGTGATTGAGCGTATGTAGGGACGTAGTCTGTCATACAGACCCTCAAGCAAATATATACAAGTCCACGCAAGTCTAGAAAATGAGGCAAGTCTAGATTTCCTCAGCTTCAGGAGAATGTCTCAGGGCTCCTTTTTATTATGTATCTCTTTTTTACTATGAACTTTTTTTCTGTAAAATATGTTCATTTCAAAGACCAGTTGTTCGTCTAGTAGGGATGGGTAGAAGTAAAAAAGACAAAATGGATACTCGTGCTGTCATACTTTTGAATTATATGTAAACATTCGTTCTTGTCTCGGGATAAATGTATATTTTCCAGTTTTAACCAAATGTACATTCGAAGAATATCGAAATCTAGGTTAAGCTATTTGAATCATATTTACAATTAAAAGACCCAAACAATGGTCTGTTGTCCAAATTGTTGGTTTTCCATACCTTGTCCCAGTCTGTATCACAGTCACAGACCGATATTATTTGCCCTTCTGTCCAGCCCTTACTGTAATATGTATACTGCAATACTGTATATGTTGCACATATACAACACAACGTATTATGCATGTAGTCAATGCTATGCTAAGCAACGTCCACTCGTATTCAAGATTACACCTGGTTAGAGATGCAAACAAATGTGTATTCGTATGTGCATCTTAATGAAATGAGGAACCAAGCAAGCAAAATCATAGTATGCATAAAAATCAAGTTGGTACACTGGGACTCGTTATCATCGGAGGAAGCTCACAGTTTACTTGTATGGACGATCTATTATAAGTACGTGTTGTCTGTCTGTAGTAGACAGAACCGTTACATTGCATGTAGAGCACGGATACACTGCTCGTGCATCCCACACACTCACGTGCACGTGCTTCACAACATTCGCAGCGCGTTTACCGTTAACATCTGTCGGTGCGTGTCACTGACTGAAGACGTGAAGGGAGGCATTGTATTTACTCTTTGAAGTGTAGCGTTTCTACAACTTAACACATGCTAAATGATACATAATAGTGGATAAAAAGAAACCTTGCTTTTTTAATTTAGTTTGTAAACTACTGACTGTTTTTTGCTATTAAACACTCACTGAGTACATGTTGTGACAACAACCATCTGTCGTCGTATATCTCATAAAACGAGAGCGTGTAGTGAACGCCTGTGTTTGTTCGTGCTGGTCTTTCCTTTGGGAACATGAATCTAATGAATGCCCTGTATGGTGTTTATGCATAAATCCATGTTGAGTCACTCACTCAACAACGCTGGGAGTTTTAAAAACTCTTGTTACCTTTGATCGCGCAGTGAATATCGAAGATATTCAGTCACAGATGATATTGTGAAGCTAATTCATAACGCCATTCGTGTTGAACATGTAACGGATATTACTTCATACGTTTACACGCGCACCACCTCCTGTACAAACTTGACAGAGAACGGTTCTCTATGAACGGTTCTATGTTCATGATAACTGTCTCTTACAGTAATATGTAGAGTTTCAAGTTAGGGTTTAGTACTACGGAAGCGTAGTAGGGCCACGGCGAAAAAAATGTTTGGTCTCACTATCTCCTACGTAGGACTTAATATCTCCTACGTAAGGCATATTTTCTCCTACGTAGGGACAAATTATCCCCAACGTAGTACTTAATATCTCGTATATACGTAGGAGATGAGCGATATATTAATAGACATTAATCTGATATGGTCGACTTAAATCCGCAGACATATATATATATATATATATATATATGTCTGCGGATATATATATATATATATATATATATATATATATGTCTGCGGATTTAAGTCGACCATATCAGATTAATGTCTATTAATATATATAGTTATAGTTATATATATATAGTTATATGATTTTTCTACTGGAGTATATCATCCGAGTATTCAATGTGCTGCACGTCAACGTGAACTCATTATTCTTATCACCAAAAGAGCCTGACAAAGAAAACAGTATTACTCAAGCTAACACGCCTTATTAAGCTGCACTCGCTCTTGCTACCACGTCTTGTCTGCGGTGTTGGCAGATCTTGTGAGGTGCTTGTTTCGAGGGATATAATGGTTCAGTGGTGAACAAAGGGCGATGAGGTGCCTCTTTGTCCTCTCAAGTGTCCCTAGCTGTCCCAATAGAATAGCACTTTATCTCTCTTACATCCTCGATAATGTCCAGGGTATACGTTACGATCACTCTCCACTATGCCCTGGATGCATCCACGGCTGATTTTATTACCTCAATTGGCTGTCTTTTTGTCCAATCAGGTGCCTACGCTGTGAAGTTGAGCGTACCAATCACAACTCACTTTCGCTTCTTAAATTATCTAACCGTTAAAACTTGGCAACACAATTGATGCAGAGGTACTCTGAAAGAAGTAGAAGGAGTTCTGTCATATATTTTTTAAAGTTTCAGATCTGTCAATTTGTGTTTATTACTTCCCCCAAAATCTGAGTGGCACTGCGAACAAACCTTCGCGACTGCGACCGCTATCCTTGTTGACACTGGCAAGCTCGGTTGTAACGGCGGCTTAGCTGATTGGCTACTGTGAGAATGCGGATCCAGCCAAGGGAGGTAATAAAATCATCGCCCTAAGCCGTGGATGCATCCAGGGTATAGTGGAGAGTTATCGTAACGTATACCCTGGAGATTATCGAGGATGTCTCTCTTAGAGCACAGCCAAACATGCCACACGTACCAACTCGTAATTCTTAAGTCTATTCAGCTCACTACTGTAAAATATTTTTTGGCAGTACATAATTTGAATATTATTGCGCTGCATGTGACCTTCCTTAATAGTCTCACAGTGCCGGAACCATGTTATTTCTCCTTCCGCTCAGCCTTTGCTGTAATAACGCCCTACATCAGCTTTAAGTTGTCCACATTTGTTTCACTAACGCAAAAGTATGCGACAACAAAAAAGGGGGTATCTGATAAGACCTTACCAGCAAACAAATCTAGTGGACCTGATGGCATTAACATGAGAGTGTTAAAACGAATTTGTACATCTATAGCTGAACCTCTTTGTTTGTTGTATAATATA